GTTATATCATTAAATTTAGTAAAACTATTTCTCAGGCTAGGTTTAACTCTAATAAAAAGATACATATTTTTTTCTGTTTATTTACAAATATTTTTCAGATGTGTTGTGGATGTTCCTTCTTTAAAAAAAGCGATGCCATCTTGTTTTCGGTTGCATAAGAAAGGATATCAAACATTTTTCTTTTTTAAATTTAATAAGTCACGATAAAGAAGGAACGTTACAATGCTACACGCTACATTAAAGACGTCTCCAGAGTAACTGAATGACTGTTCATATAGAAATCGCAGGTATTAGTCTCATACAACAACGCCCCCTATAGTTCGTTGCGATCGCGAATACCTTTACGACTATTGTTAATTTTGTGCTGATGACAACCAAAACAATATGGAAATGAATGAGGGAAAACAGGCGCCGACAACAATGGAAAATGGAGTCAGACTTCTATGATTTTATGTTATATATACATATATATATATATATTACCCAAATAGAATGTTAAATTAAATCTACTGTTACAGAATTATGCACTGCAAAAATGTATCACTCATTCGATTTATTTTAAATCGAAGCTTAATGCTTTGATGGAGAACGCTTTTACGAAAGAGAAAACAAGAATTCAATGTAATCCCAAAATGGCGGTAATCTCGATTGTTAATCAGACGAAATTCAGTTCATAGCTCATTTGATGCTTTTTTAATCCTGCAATCACGCGAAAAGCTGCGTAAGCTTCATACAACCACTATCTCTTCGTGATACATGTGAAAACGAAAATGATATTTCATTCGTTCATAATTTTGTTATTTGCATGTCTACAAAGCATAGGTAGTTCTCAGGTAAAATATTCTATTATTTTTTAAAAGAAGTAATATCCACTATATTTTGATTGTTTACAACTATTTGAATGTCTAAAATTTCTGTGCGTGATCTTTAAATTTCGAGATTTTCGATATTGAACTATAAGCATCAACACTTTTGTATAATCTGCTGCTTGAATATAACTAAACGCAGCATGAATTCAAGCATAAATTGTATTTTAATTTGGAAAAGACGTCGATTCATTTCAAGTTTTCAATTACCAATTTTAAACTCCACTGGGGTAGACTATATTTGAGGTTGCCCCTTGATTCTCGCCAAGTTGTGATCGCCAAAGCTGGGGCAATGTCGAAACACAATCGTGATCCTGATTGGTTTAGATTTTAGCGTTATTTTTAAATGTTCAACGGTATATGTAATTTCAGAGGTCCATTAGTTCTAAGTTGGATACTGGCTGGTAAGGTTACTTTTGCTAAGGTTACTTTCGCTTCAATAAGATCGAAGGTATGTGCGCAGTCATAAAAAGGGACTTTAGAAAAAAAATGTCACCGCCAGTCCGGTACCACAGACGCCATTTTCGATTCGTATTTCGCCGAATTTATGGGACGATGGAGGTACGCAGATTCTATTCATGCTAAATTTAGACAGTATCTAACTGCTATTAGAGAATTCTGTGCCTGAGGATATTCAAGCTTAATGAAAAAGTGAGTTGTTGTTTTTTTCTCATTCCTTCTGTGCTTACTCCAATAATTTTTGTCTCGATTCAAAATGCACTTTATTGGGTTTATTAATTTTGCTTATGTTGGGTTCATTGCAATTTTATAAAGTTTAGGCCGATGTTTTGCTGAAATTTTCTAATGTTTAATTGAAATATCATTATGTTTTGGCCGTCATTCCTGTTACAACGGTTTTCCGCGCAAACAGGAATGGCGCCAAACGTAAGTCGCCGATTTCGCCAAGGGACACCCTCAAGTACATTTTTACCCTCCACTGCCTTGTTCATTTAAACTCAAGTCAGATAACAAAGAAATTCCTAAACCAAATCTTGAGAAAGAAAAACTAGCATTTTTTTATCATTATTTCTTTTTTTTGTAATGTAACTCGCTTCTGCACTTGATGGAAAACCGCCAAAATTTAGCAAGTCGCCAATGGGATTCAAACGTGTGAACTGTATTTCACTGGGAATATTTGTGAGGACCTTTTATAATGTACAAATCACCATAGCATAATCAGGAATCGCGAAATTTTAACCTCATGAGAAAACTTCTAAAATAACAATTATACCTTTTGTGTCTACGGTACACAATGTGTTTCGATAATATCGCCTTATTTTGCTATTGATAATATTAGGAACAGTCTTTTTGTTAAGTGGCAGACCTATTACAATTAATACCTATTTTATTTATTGATATTGAATGTAATTAGTACGAGAAATGGTTTTGTATCAGATATTATGGTAATTCATCCTAAGTAATACTTTAATGTATATAAATACCTCAAGAAAATACTAAGAAAAGAATTGCTTTTATTACATTAGCAACTTTAATCGAAAACTTAACAACAAATATACAAAATACAAAATTACGAATACATATATACCCTTTATGTGGCCCATAAACAATGAATTTTGTACTTTTATTGAAATAAAAATTTCATTAAGAAATATTAATTATTTTCATTTATTTTTTATCCTTCCTAAAATGCCTATAGAAGTTTTAAACATAAACGGTGCTATGGTGCCACACATACTGCAGTACCAAATATTGGTGACCGAGGTTATCGTTTTCGAGCAATAGCATGCACAATACTCAAATTATGGCTCGAGAGATGATCGAGGAAGTAGTTCAGCATGTAATAAAGTTTTAGGATGAGTTTTTTTTATCTTATCTTATGACAGAGCGGTAAATAATGTTAATACTTTTGTTGTCAACTATGCTGAAATTTCCTGAACTCATACTTTCGGTGGTTCGCGTGATTTAACGTCTGCTGGACAGAAATGAATTATTTTCAATTCAGTTTCAGCATAAATTTTTTCCGAATTATTTTGTTTTATTTGATGCAATGGATAACAAACGATGAAACATAACCTAAACATGAAATACTAAAATTAAACTTGAAAAAAGCATATGTTGAATTGAAAAAAAACTGCTATACTTTCAAATTAGTCAAATAAATAATTTTTATTGAAAAATACCTTTAAATTAATTCCAAAGAAAGTATTAAGATATTTTAACCTCTTAAGTACCTCTTAAGTTAAGATATTTTAAACTCTTAAGTCAAACATATTAAACATAATTTAGAAAAATTTTGTCAAAAGAACGAGATTTTAAAGAATAAAATTTTAAGATTATTTTTTTTTTTATAAGTAATTATCTTTGTAAAAATATAATTGGATTTACTCTCGTTGATATAATATGAGTTACCCTCAATAACAATATTTCTACTTAGCAATTCTGTATACTCTTGATAATTTTATTCTAAATTTATATTGATATATTTTTGATGCGAAAAGTATGAAAACTTTTTAAATGGTTATTGTTCGTATTAGCATGTATTAGTTTGTAACTGAAATGGAATGCTTTAGCACTTATCTATCTCTAGTTTGTAATATCAGCTCTACTAGCATTATCTATGCTATTAAGAATTATAAAAAAAAATAACAAAAATGCTCTACGTTTTCACTAACAAGCAGCACCAAATGAATGATATTCACACCTTTCAGTTCAACTTCTAACTTAGAGATCGTTCCAAAATCGAAAGCACTGTTAGAATTTTCATTCTAAACTTACGATTAAATAACTGGCAACAGTCTGTCTCTCCAACTAATCATAAAGTTTACGGTTGAAATATGCTTTTTTTTACCTTTAAGGATTTGAAATCTTTTACAACTAGAATGGTTAAAAAAATCGTAAATGTAAGACTTTACGGTTTTGTAATAAACTACACCTTACATGGTTCCAAAACCTGAAAAACGAAATCTAACTGGACATTAAAGCTAGGTTATGGAGACAGGAGTTAGGTTGCAGTTGTAATGTGTATTTTATTTTTCAATTGAACCATGGAATTTATTTTAATTAGTTTTAACTACTGATGCTATCATGTGAGATGGTAAATACTAGACATTTTTGTGTTAAGCAGCTGTGGTGCTGCCACCTTTACATGAATACAGAGATGCCAACTTGTTCCGGACAGCAATTATATATTTTAAAGTGGTAGTTTATCAATTGTGATTCTTGGTTTAATAAATTCAATTTAGTAGATTTTTATCCACCACTATTTCTAAATAATTCGTAGGCTTATATATTTCACCACTGTATGATAGTTATGATAAGCTATACCTTTTAAAAAGCAAGCAGAAATAAACAAATATTTCCAAAATGTACTTCGTAGTTATTTACCGTTTTTTTAATTATTTTAGCGTGTCCGGAGCAGTTGGCATCTCTGTGAATAAGAATTTCGTATTCCAATAGTCCATGTTTACGCAGGACACTGGAAACTCTGGTTGATTGGTTCTAATGCCACTTGCCAACGTGCAAGCCTGCTTGGTGAAACCGAGCAAATTAAGTTAGAGTGTGCGATTCTTGTTTTTTTTAGTGGCGCCACCTATGACCAAGAATTCGACTTCTGCCTCATCATACTTCACACCTGTACTGGAAACTCTTCATGCGATGAAGGAATAGAGGGAAAATGGCTGGAATTCGAGCTTCTATTCAGCCTGTCATGCGGTGGTCAAATTTGCCCTCTCGGCCAAAAAATTTAGTTAATTTAAATTACTCGGCTAAAAATTGCAGGGAAGTAAGCCATGAGTAAGTTCATAAAGTGTTCACCACACACTTATTTTTAGAAGAAAATTAGACATCTTCTGTTGTGTCAGTTATCTGATGATGCGAAATAAAAATATGAATTCTTAATCCTTGTCACATGGCTTAGCTTTCCATGAACGTGAGCTTGATTCTCATCCTAGTTTCTTAGATAAAACTCTTATTGTTTAACCTTATCAGTCAATAAACCGTAGAATCAGTAAACAAGTTTTCTCACATTTAACAGTTTAAATACCTCCTTTTTTCTGGTTTTTTCTCTTCTTTGATTGAATATTGTTAAATAACAATTAAATAAATTGCTATTTATTTAAATTATTATTAATTGCTGTTCCACTTTATTTGAATAATATCTAACAGATTGGCTGTAATACGGATAGAAAACATTGAATGATTTGCACCCACATCAAATTTTTAAAATAGAGTTGTAGATAGAAGTTAACAAAATCAGGTTAGTCGCAAACGCTTTAGGTGGCGCTTTGAGTTGAATTTTTGTTTATTCCAGAAAATCAGTGGAGAAGAAGATTTATGGTTAAATAAAACGTTTGTATTTAACATCCAGTGAAATGTCGTGAAATGACATTTGACTTTATGCATAACGCCTTTTCTACAAATTAATGAATGTAATTGGTGAAAAGGTGAAAAAATGGTTTCTGGCCGGCTGACAGTAAATTTATTATTTATTTTTGTAAAATATTAATAATTCATTGTTTCAGAGTCCTGTACGTGTGAATGTGACAATCGCTTATGAATCCCTTTGCCCAGACAGTAAAAGGTTTTTCCATAAGCAGTTTGTTCCAACTTTTAACAGGTTGTCTAACTATATGAATGTAAAGTTTCTACCATTTGGAAATGAACTGGTAAGTGAAACATATATAAATATATATGTATATACTGTCTTTTTTGTCTTTTTATTACGTTATATATGAAACAGCTATTCCAATTACAAATCGAAAAATTTCAATTTATATTTGATAAAATGCTCATTATTTTCGTCTATTAACCAATTGATTCAGTAAAATGACCACTATTTAACAAGGAATTATATATCTCACTTTTAAATTGTTCTTCAAATGTTTTAGTCTTAAATTTTTTCATAAATTCTGTAATATTTTCCTTGAAATTGAATTGGCCTTAAAAAAGGCAAGCTCAATTTAGCTTTTGAGAAGAAAAAAACACTTTATTTATCTGCGACATCTATTTTAGTGCAAAAATTCGAAGCGTTACTTCGTTTCAAAAATTAATTTTTATTAACGCAAAAGTTGTAGCAACCGCTTCGATTGTTTCAGGAATCTTTCTCTAAGGATATTGTTCCTGGAAATGCTCGTACATTTTTTGTATCAAGGTGAGCTTGCATTGCGTTCAAAATGATTTTCTTAAAACGAATTCCCATTCAAAAGCATCTTACATGATATTTGAAAGGAAAAGCAAGTACCCCCTTTTTTGAATAAATTAACCTTTGGCGGACGAAAGCTTTTACAAAATAATGAAAATTGCATTAGTTCCAAACAAATTCACACACTTTAAAAGTTAAAACATATTTTACATAAATGTTTTAATTGGTACACACTTTCACATCATTCCAACGTTAAACCATAAAAGCTTGAACCATAATATCTAGCATATTTTATTCAACCTTAATAAGGTGCTAAATTCAGTTAAATATCCGTTCATATTTGAGCCTTTGTTATCACACGGAAAAAAATTCTGATAAAATTACCATACTGTATGTTAGTGAAATTTCTGATAGAAAAAGCACAATTATGATAATAAAAACCGAAACATACAGTATTTAAGCCATTCATTTGGCAATTTATCCGCTCATATGGTGTCGGCTGACCGAATTTACGAATTAAAATTAAAGTTCTTATTGAAATTATAGTTGTTATTAGAATTTCAAAATCATAGTCTTTATTACCGCACATATATTAAGAAATACCAAGCTGAAAAGGAAATTTATACGAATGAATAGTTTTCATGCCATGCTCAAAGATATCATGATAAAAAATCAAATTTTATCACATATTAGCAAAAAATATTTTATAGCTAATTTTACAAAAGCCCTTCAGAAAAATTCCCCAGCTTTTTAATAAAGCAAGGAACGAAGTAAATTTTATCATATTATGGTAGCTTTAACCATGTTCTTTTTCGCAGTGGGCGTATTTAAGTTTAAGATTATTTAATTAGAACGATGACAATATGGTTCCAAATCTGCTTTGATATAAGGGTAGAGAATATTCGCATGATATTATTGTACATCATGCTTTAAAATTTCTAATAATACACATTTTAATAATTTTGGGAGATTTCATAAATAATAAATAATTTCAGGCACAATTCCTTCCTGTGAGTAAGATTCAAAATATCAATATTTTTATTCTTGCGTTACATAAGAATTTAAAAGATGGTATCCAGAATTATCCAAGTTTTCGAAATGAGTGCGGCTTAAAATTTCTTTCGAGATATTTGGTTATTTTTTCATTTCATGTTACTTAATAAAAATTAATAACATGATATTGCTAGTTAAGTTTTCCATTTGAAGAATATTTTCGTTAACTATAATCGATTTAGTTCAAAACAACAACAAAAAACAAATAAATAATCATAGTTTTATATTATGTTTCATCAATAAACATAATTTTAAAAGCATCACATTAAAAAGTATGCTTCTCCTTAAAATTTCAAAAAAAAAAAATTTATGATAACATTCTATTTAATGCATTTCTAATTTATTTCATCATCGCCAAATTAATTAATTATTATATTTCAGATTAGTAGATTACCAAGTAAAGTCAAATTCGAATGTCAACATGGCCCAAATGAATGCTACAGAAACAAGATTCAAGTAAGAAAATCATTGCTATTATATTTGTGATTTACAAATATATTCTGAAAATACGGGGCTTAGTAAACGATATATAGGGGAGAGGGGGGCACCTTTCAACAGTTTTTGCTTAAGTATTATTTTCGAAGTTTTATTGCTTTCAAAATCTAAGTTCTAATTTTTATTTACTAATTTGATATTTGAGGTAACCTCTCAATTTTTTCCAAAGGTCTAAACCAAAGACAAAATACCTAATTCTACATATTTAGTGAACCATGTATTTTGTTGAAATCTACCCCTCCTGGGGGGCAGTTTTCAACGGGTGGTGGGGCACATTTCAACAACGGAAGAGAACGTAACAAGATCATACATTTTGGAAAATTAACTTTACTCATAAAATAATAATAATGAATGAACACATTGGATTGATTTAGATTTTTTCTACATTATTTGGTCTTTAATAAAATCAAAGTTTACGGAGAATGTCATGAAAAATACAGCTCGAGCTGTTACGTAGCTTAAACTTGGTTGAGGCAGTTTCATTTTAATGTCATTTCTTTCTATACTACTAATGTCCTCTATACTACTAATTCTGGAAAATAAAACATTGATTATCATGCTTCCTCGCTCTCCAGAAACTACCTGCCTCACCAGACCAGCTCCTAGCTTGGCAACAACATTCGGAGCTGGAACAAATGTTAAAACTCCAGTTTTATCCAAGTTATATATTTGATCCACTGTAAAATGACCAGAATTAAGAGCTCTCTCATAATTGTTGAAAGATTCTTGAACATTTTCTTTATTTAAAGCTATAGCTCTTGCAAAGCTGGTGTTTTCCAGTTTTCTTAAAGTAAGCTGTGGGTGACACTTCATAAAACCTTTAACCCAGTCAATTCCAGACGTTTCATTTTTGTCCCAGCTACTAGGAATTTTGGAGTTGAAACACTTTGCGTTATCATAGGAAAGTTTTCGAACTTGTCTGTAAGTTAGACTATAATTGAGAATTGAACATGTAATTATGTATTCACAAAGCAGGGTTTCTTGCTGGACATCAAAAACTTGTTGGCTTGTGTATTTAGAACTGTAGCATTTTGTGTGTTAGTAGTTGTACATTGTTTGGTTTCACCAACCAAACAATTATTTGACTTTCTTTTTTTTTAATTAATAAAATAAAGCTGAAAAGTCTATTCCAAATAAGTCTGCTGCTGCTGTTAAACATGCACCATTTCTGACTGCTTACATTGTTTTTTCAACGTTTTCTTCACTAACTTCTGGTTTAGAGAGTTTTTTTTTTTTATATATGTTCGCAACATTTTTATAAATTGTAAGAAGGTAAAATATCAGAATTGAGAATTTTATTAAATATAATGTTACACCCTAAACTTTTCAATTTTCTTAAAATTAAATTATTTTCATTCCAAATTAAATTTTCTTGAATATTTTTACAAAATTTTAAAATAATTATTTTATTGATGCTTTTAATGAATTCTTTGTAAATAAATTCTATTTTCAACAACAATGCAACAAACTGAATCTTGATTTTAAGCTTTTAAAAAAATTTCATTTCATTTAATTGAAATTTTTTTTACAAACATGCTTCCTTGAACACATTCACATGTTTTTCAAAATATTTAGAATAATGCCTTACAGAAAAAGTTGAGTATTTAAAATATAACAACCGCAATTAATGGGCTTTTTGCTGACTAATGACTTCTGCAAGATTACTTAACAAAAAAATAATAAGCCTGGGACACCTTTTAACACTGTTGAAATGTGCCCCCTAAGCTCTGTTGAAATCTGCCCCTGGTACAGACATTTTGGTTAAAGTATTATCAACCACTTTAGAAAAAGACTTTTTACTAATAAATGATACAGTTAGAAGCAGAATTAAATAAGCTAGCAGATGAATAAATATCACTTACTTTATTAAAAGATTACTGGTAGATAAACAGTTTTAAAATCAAAATTGTCTTTTTACTTTTGGAGTGTTAAAACATGTTCCACAGAGTAACACAACAATGGTAAAAAGAAAGTGCTTAAAACTAAATGTCAACAGTTATGCATAGTTAAAGCTTGTTGTCTGGCATATTGGTGAATCATTAAGCAATATTAGAAGGCAGAAATTCTAGTTGTTGAAAGGTGCCCCATGTTGAAATGTGCCCCCCTCTTCCCTAGAATAAAATTAACATGATATTTAGAATCAAACTAATGTTTAAATGCTTGAATTTCTTAAACAAGATAAAATATTCCTACGCTATCTAGCCAAAAGAGTCCGGTAAAAAGTATTTGGAAAAAGGGGTTCTATCGGATGACGCAATTTGATGCGTAATCGTAAGCTATAAAAATGTTGGTAGAGGTTTGTCAGGTTGCATTTATGTGTTTGTGCGACAATGAATAAGGAGCTTAGTGAGTTTAACCGTAACAGTATAAGGGGATGCCACCTTTGTGGGAAAACAGTTCGTGAGATTGCGGACATTCTATAGAAGCCTAAATCCACTGCGATGTAGTGGTCCTGGACGGACGGAAAAACGGCCTGGTAAACTGAAAAAACTTAGTGAACGCAGCCGCAGAACTTTGAAAAGGATAGTGAAACAAAATCACAAGTCCCCGTTAGTAGAAATTTCTCAGGAATTCCAAAGTTCCTCAGACGTTAGTGTTAGCAGGACTGTTCGTCGACAGTTAAAAAACTTGGAATTCCATGGTCGTACAGCCACGCACAAGCGAAACATCACTCCAAAGAATGGTGAGAATCGATCGCAATGGTGCAGATCTCTCCATCATTGAACTGTGTACACGTGGAAAACTGTTCTTTGGAGTCAGGATTCTTGCTTTGCTCTCTAACAGTCGGATAGACGCATCTGGGTTTGGCGGATGCCCGGCGAGCGTTTTTTTGGTGACTACATTGTACCGACTGTTTAGCTTGATGGCGGAAGCATAATGGTGTGGAGGTGTTTCTCGTGATTAGGCCTGGGACCGTTAGCTCCTGTGGTTGGAAACATGAACTCTGAGATGCATGTGAGCATTCTGGGCAACGCTGCATTCCCAACTCCATGGCAATATTTCGCGGAAGGCCCATTTCTCTTCCGGCAGGATAACTGCTTCATTCACGCATCGAGACTCACACAAACGTGGTTTGACGTAATAGGTGTTAGGTGTTCGAAAACTGGACTGGCCTTCTAGGAGCCCTGATCTTAATCACATAGAGCACTTTGGGACAAATTAGAGCGCAAATTACGCAACCAGCCAAATCGATTATCCTCGCTGAAAGTACTCACTTCAGCTGTGATAGAAGCCTGGAAGTCAATTCCTATGGATACCTATCAAAAACTGGAAGAAATTCTTCCCCGACGTGTGCAGGCTATCATCGATGCAAAAGGGGGACCAATATCATATTAATATGAGCCTGAGAACGCTCTAAGTCTATACCACAGATTGTGTATTTTGCAATATTATTATTAAAGTTAGTAATTTAAGCAGTAAAATGCTTTGACTTTTAAATTATTTGTATGTAATAGTCAAAAACATTTCGTCTCCTGGCTCGTGTATTTTTTATGTTTCTGTCTTAAAACCAACTGAGCGTCTGAGACGCTTACATGTATCAGTTTATTTAAAGCAAAGTATCATTCAATGAGAGATTTGTGTACTCTAGGAAAATATATAAAAAGTAGAATGGATACCTGCAAGTGAAGTAGCTTGGGTATCTCGATCCTGAGTGGTCGTTGAAACGTGGCATTTGCTTACGTTAGCAACTTCTCTTACCATTCTATTTCGAGTAAGCCAAACTCGTCAAGTATCAATTGTCTTAAGTGACACAATCTTATATTCTTTCCACACAAAAAATTTTCCACAAAGATTTAAAATCTTTTACCATATATTTCTTACTTAACACAAAGACAGGCACGAAACCATCCAGAACATAAACTAATTATGCATTGAAGTTGAAGTACACAAAACAAAAATATATCAAGTTTACAATAAAATACATAAACAAAAGCTAAGTAAAAAACATAGGCGAGAAAGAATTATATTTCAACGAATTTGAGGTGTGATACGGCATTATATTTAGTTAATTTCTCGTTAATTAAAATTCTAACTTATGTGGAGAAGATTATCTCAACTACAACATGCCATTTTGCTTATAATTATAAGCTGGTGCTGGCATCATAGGTCACATGTGCAGGGGTCCAAGATCTTTTTCTTCTTGAAGTGCGAGTACCCAATTACGAAACGCTCAGTCGGTTAAAATACCTAAGACAAATTGTATAGGTTTTTATTAGTTATAATTATGTACTGTAAAACATTTTAGTGTATCCCAACACTAAAAATGGTGGCAACTACTTTACAACAAAGTGGTACAGTGAAACGCCATACATTATTCTTGGATCTAGTGTTTCACTACACCAATGCTCTGCACTACTTGGTGTAAAGTAGTCACCATGATTTCTGTTATTCAATAAAATTACAATTTATAATTGCAACAAGAAAAGGTACACATAACAGTCAATAAAGTTATTTTTACAATACAATATAAAGTAAGAAATATTAATTTAGGATAAATATGTATACTTTTTTTTAATAAGATTAGTTTGTAAATCAAATATCCGCATACCACAGGAACAATCCTAAGATGAATTCGAATTAGGCTTAAGAGAATGGAAGGGGAACCTTTTACAACGTATATGAAAGCTTGATTTGGTGTTAACCAGAAATTAAGTGCTCCTTCACTCATTTTTAGGGTTCTTCAACATCATATTGATGGAGATATTACACCACAGTTTTTGCAGTGTAGGTACTACAGCGGTGCTTACTGATATTTTTTTACTTAAAATATATGACTTATTTACATTTTAGGCATGTTTCATAGCATATGATGGAAACACAACAAATCAAGTAAAATTCATCAACTGTGCATTTGATGTTAAAAAGGCAAAGAAACACGTTGAAAACGTAAGTTAACTTCTTTTCAACGATATACTTTTTTCTAATCGCCATCCCCATATACTTTCACTGCAGCGATAACATTCCATAAGGCTCAAATCAGATAAACCTGACTATTTTAATTGCGATTCTCAAATCGTGATGATTGTACCAGAATGCATACAAAAACGATTATTAGATCGATTATTATTTACGGAAAGTATAATTATTTTACTCTGTTTTATAAGATTAAAAAAAGCTTGTTTTTTATAGAAGTACATAATATTAAAAAAAAGTTACACCTTTACCTACTATAATAGAAAAATTCATTTGCTTATTTTTAGGTACCGAATGACTAAATAAGCTGAATGAGATAAAAAATAAAATTTTCAATAACTGAGCGAAGAAAAATGCTTGCAAACTTTGAACGTCGCTAGACATATTCGAATTTAGTTATGCCATGTTCAATATGATTGTCTTGAATGGCAATGATGTAGTGCAAACGAATAGCAAAATTCTGAAAAACTACTAACGTTTCGAGACATCGATAATTTCGATGGCTTTTTGAGTGGCTGGTTTGATCTCAAATATATAGTTTTGAGTTTATTTACGTAAATTTTGTCTCCAATATTGCTTTTCAAAAGTGAGTCATGTAGTTTGAGATCAGGAGAAAAAGGCAGCTTTAACGATCGACATAAGCTCAAAAAAGCTTTATTACAACGTTTCCTCCCCTTCCCCCTCAAAAAAAATAAACAAAAGAGATTAAGATTGCGAATGTTTGAAAAAAGTTCGAATATTTCATGAATGGAACCCTTAAATTTTAAATTAATCTCCTAACGGTTAAAAGTTATGAAAGCTCCTTGCCACCCGTTTAAAGAAATGCGAAAAATACTTTAAGTTCATGTTTGTAATTCCCTAAATGTTTTTGATATTTTTTGTGCCATTTAGTGTTTTGACGATGAGAACTTTCACAGTAAAATTAAACACTGCGCAGATGGAATAATGGGTGATGAATTACTTTTGAAGACTGGACTCGAAACGCCTGCTCATTCCTTTATTCCCTGGATTGTCATTAATGGTGTAAGTGAAAATAAAGTTCTTTCGTACATTCTATTAAATAATAGCTGGTAAGATTAATAACCATAGAATTTGTTCTTAGTCAATTCCAAGCAAACTCATTTATTTTAACCCTACTTTTAGCTAATATTATTTTTTCAAACCATTTTAAGCCACGGGAATTTTTAGTTTCAAACACTCTATATAAATCACTGAAAAATCATACGGATATCTTTTTTTTTTATTTCTCTTTAATTAAAATGTCAAATGATGTACGGAGCTCAAAATTTTAAGAAAAATGCCTCAATGACTTTTGATTTATTGATGGATTGATTTTGATTTACTGATTCGAATTTTGATTTATTAATTTTGATTGATTATTTATTTGTCTATTCTTACGTGCAAACTTAATGATTCGAAGGGAAGATAATTAGCATACTAAAAGTTATTGTATACATTGTATGTTCACAAATGCTCATACTGAATACATTTATTTTACAAAACAATAAAAGAAGTATGTGTTTTGCTTCATAAGCTTTGTCTTATGTACGGATAAAAAATTCCAAAATTATGTTTAATAAAAACAAAATGTATGGACTATTCATTTGGAAAATTTTCCGTTCATATGGTATCGGTTGAGATAAACGAGCTGAGAAAATCAATTAAGATCACACATGGTAATTTTTACACGCATTAGCGAGTGAGTGGCAGAGGCCACAATTTACAGTTTACTGCTCATGATTTTCTCGATATTCACATACAGATCCGCAGTGACTCAGGCGATAGAGCGTTCGCCTATTAGTGAGGTGACTCAGGTTCAAATCCCAACAGTGGCTGGTTGATACGAAATCCTGACATCACACACTTAAATTGTACAAAATACATCTCAAAATTACGTGAATTGAACTATAAGAGCAAAATTTTTTTTAAAAATAACAAAATATTTTTTCCCAAGCAAACTAACAAACAGCAAAAATACACTTTGGACATAGTCAAAATAACTACTGGGAGGAATCAGTAAAGGCCTTTTTGCGAGATTGATCATATCCCGACGCGTCTTCAATGTGTTCAGAATGAAATAAGGACAGATTTTGTGCTTAATTTATCTATGTAAATTGCTAATTCTTTACAAATATCTGATTGTTATCTGATTGTCCTGATCCCTGTATCTGATTGTTATCAAGCTGCATCATCTATCTCAGCAGTTCCCATATAATGTTCCGTGGAGCCATAGGGTTCCGTGGTAAAGAGGCATGGGTTCCCTGACTTTTTTTTGCCAATTATTATTTTTGAAGCATGTAATTAAATTTAAGTGCAATTGTTCATAATTTATTTATTTTTTTCTTTATTCTTAGAAAATTAATTAAAATGGTTGTGAAGAACGAAAATTCAAAACAGTGTCTTTTCTAATGACTATATAATGAATAAATTTTGAAAAAGATATGTATTTCCCATCTTATCATTACTTATGAATAGAGCCCGGATTTTGATGACCTAAAAAATCTCAACTAATGCCCTTAAAAAGGGCAAAAAATGCCCCTAAAAATGCAAAAATTGCGCAAAAAATGCCTTAAATAAAGTAAAAATATTGAATTAAAAAATGTTTTGCTCTTTAAAATTATTATGAGTCATTTAAAAGATATAAAGCAATGCAATACTTGTTTTACGTTCATTAAAGTTTGAAAAATATGTTTTATATCCTAAAATAACAAAAAAAGGAAAATATATTGACACCAAAATATTTTTCTTTTGTAGAGAAACTTTGAGGGATATAACAACTCCCATCTCATAATATTACTAAATATCAGAATTACATTGGATTATTAATTTTTTTTTGATAATTTGAAATGTAAACGAGCGTCTCTTGTCTGAAAGTAAATTTTCATTCCTGCAGAAGCTTCTTTCAACGTCCACTGATGTTATAGGTGTGTACTTGAAAAGGACGGTTTCACTTACTGACAATTCTTCTTCAATTTGTAAAGATTTTGCTTCACTTGTTAATATCCTATAGATTTTCTTCATTGTTTGGAAGCCAGTGTAATAATGAAAATTGATAAAAAATAATAAAAATTGGAAAAAATTAACCGAAAACTTTAAAAAATGCATTAAAATGCAAAATTCGCCCCAAAATTTAAAGAAAAATGCCCTATAAATCTAAAAAAATGCTCTAAAAGACAAAAAATGTCCAAAAATGCAAATGTCATCAAAATCCGGGCCTTACTTATGAACATACATCATGTTCAAGTTCATAAGCTAGAGGTTGAGAGCGCTGACACCACACTATTTCCTCCATTCCCTTTAACACATGAAGAGTTTCCAATGACTTGCACTCTCCAAGGCCTATTGCCTAACGAAAAACCTAGCTCCTATGTTCTATAAAAAAAATTTCTAAGGTTTTAAAACCATACTAGTTGTAAATGGTTGAAAAACCGTGTAGTTTTGTATTCATGGTTTTATAGCCATACTAGTTGTAAACGGTTTCAAAACCGTAAAGATAAAAAAATTTCTTTACTGCGAACTTTACTATTAATCGGATGGGAAGACTGCTGCGGTTATTTTATCGTAATTATAGAATGAAAATTTTAACAGAGTAATTGCAAATTATTTTTGCAACTAATATGAAAAACACAAATTTCATAATTTATTTTCAACATTAATCATTAAAAAAATAATTTTTAATTCTTTAATACCACTCAGATCTTACACTGCAAAATATACCGGATCAAAATTACTGTATGAAGTACACTTTGATAGCATCATCCGTAAAATCTATTTTACCGTAAAATCTGTTCGTATCGTAATTTTTGCAGTAATATTTCTTTACTTATAGTGATTCAGTGATTTTTCTGTAATTATTACTGTACCGTAAATCAGATTTTCTGTTTCATAACATAATAATGTTCGGTAAAAGGTTCCGGTCCGGTACTTTTACACGTAACACGTTTGCGTTAAAGAGGTAAATGGATCGATAAAGATTTTTTTTAAAAATGAGATGCGCAACATTTAAAAGCTTTGGAGTCCCTGTCTAAGTACTAAGATACCGCTTATTAAAAAGAAACGAAAGTAACTTATTGAGTTAAACTAATTTGATTTCATTAAACATAATTAACATTTAATAGTAAATACAAGGGTTGGAATTACTTAAGATATTATTAATCTTTTTACACTTAAATAACGGAAAGCTTAAAATGTTTGAATTACAGAAAAGTGGGAAGAACTTCAACAAGCGAGCTTTTGAACATTTTATGAACGTTATTTGTGATGAGCTTCGGGTAAGTGTTTTATTACTTATCTAAGATGAAATTTATTATAAAGTGACACGAACCTTTGAACTTTTTTAACTTATACAATTTTTATTTTTGTTTAAGTACAAAATAATGATATAAAAACATTTCTTAATGAAGAGAACTAAAATTAGTCAAAGTAGAAATAGAATTTTTTTTTTTTTATGTTTGAACTAAGTTGATAATCTTATTTTCACAAAAAATTCATTGAACTTTAATTAAGTTTATCTATTTTTTTCCTCATAAATGACTTGTCTCAGAAATTAGTAGCTCTTACAACGAATTTTTAAAATACTGATAAACAATAAATTAATATCAACCTTTAAAATAGAAATAACAAACTAATATCCAATTTGGAAACATCGAGTCGACAAAAAATACAGAAAGAAAAAAATACTCACATTCTAGTTACTTTTAAATTTTTAAGTTGTTTACAAAATTATTGTTACGTTAACTCTTAAGAAAATAATTAAAAAAATCTTTCTGTTACTTTATCAGCTAAAAAAGCAGTATTTAATTATTCCGGTTATACTTAAACTATGATATTTCTTCAGGTTCATGCTAATTATTAATTTGTGGTTCTTACTGAATATGTCTTATATTTTCTGAAAATATTTGTGAGGAATGTTTAAGAGATAAGGTATGTTGGTAAGGAAAGTGAAAACTGTTGTGTGTGAAGAAAAGTAGATGCATGTCAACATTATGCAAAGTACAATCGGAAACAAACTTTATAATAAAATAACGTACTTATTTGTTTGTTATCTGCTATGAGAAAAGGCAAAATCATTAGAGATGAACTATCACTCCCTTTTAAAATATACCATATAGTACCAAGTTTCGTAAACTTCTCATGAGTCAATTTTATTTTTTAAAGAAAAAAAATACGCTACATTCCTGAATGGGGTTTACTATAGTGATGAAGAATGAAAAGGAATGACCAATGCATTTAAAGATAATATAAGCAAAGATCTGCACAGAAGATAATCCTTAAATATGTTCTCATACTATCCGGGGTATTTATATCAGGTAACCCTAAAAATGACCGAAACCCCCAAAATTTAAAACGAAAGGTGTCCGAATTACATATTCTGCCATTTATCATACCATTCCAATATCTGACCGAGCGTTTTATACCTTAGAAAAGCAGTTTCAGATTACGGAAACACTGAAGATTACCAACATTGAAACTTGAGATAATATTGATGGCAGTGTCCTCCAGGGATTAGTAAATGCCAAGCAGCATCGTATATTACAAGTCGTAAATAAACATCGTGGATATGTTGGCCATTAACAGAAGTGTCTGTATTCAGCTAGCTACTATTTTCTCTCCGTTTTTTACAAATACGATTTTTTTTCCTACCGAGGATGCGACAGGAATTAAGTTACTCCTAATAAATTAGTATTTGTACATAGACTTACATCATATGTATATTTCGTTTTCATTGGTTTTCTTTGTGCCCATTTATGGCACAACATCGAGGTGGTTGTATTTCACGGTAACACACCTTATAAATGGAAATGACAGTGGCTCAACAATAATATATAAATTAAAGCATTAAGTAAAATAAATTTTTGATATTTCCCACAACAATTTTTTAGACTACTTTCCCATGATGAGAATTTAATAAATTGTTTTCTTTAAATTGCATACATTCACAATCTTTAGCTCTCTTCAAGTGAAAGTAGTAAATAAATTAAACATAAATAATTTTAAAGAAAACTATTTGTAATGGTTTTGATTTTTCATTCAGGTATTTGAATTAGCTTTTGTGAAATTCAACGGTTACTCTCAATACAGTTGCTATCTATTTATTTTGCTGAATACATAGGCTGTCCTGATTCTACACCTACATATACATTATGGCGCTCGAAGTTTCTTAAAACTTTTATTTTACTTTCCAGACATGTTAATCTACGAAATTCTAATAAACCTCAAAATTGAGTCTGCTGTTCAGCGGCAGTTATAAAATAAAATATTAAATATTCTCAGAAGAGCAGTGGTGGCTCAGGAGATAAAACATTCGCCTTCCAATGAGATGAACCGGGTTCGAATCTCAGACATGGCTGGTCGATACGAATTCCACACCGGTCTCGCGCCGACCACAGTGCTGATGTAAAATATCCTCAGTGGTAGACGGATCATGGGTTAGAGTCCCCTTGCTATCAGGCAAACCGTGTGAGGTATTCGTAGTTTCCCACTCCATGTAACGCAAATGCAGGTTAGTTCCATCAAAAAACTCCTCCGCGAAAGCAAATTTCTCCCAATACTTGATCCAGGAGTTCCCTTATCTTCTGGATTGGATTCAAAATTACAAGGCCACGGAGTTGAACATAGGCAGGAAAAAAATGGAGTCGAAATCGGGTCAGCTGCTCAACCAAAAAAAAACCTAAAAAATTAAAAACCTAACCTAAAAAAAACTTTCGGTTTTATCTGACGGTTATAAAATATAAAAAAAATTCTCATAAGAACCACGGTGGCTCAGGGAATAGGGTTTTCTTCTCTCAATGAGATGTCCCTAGTTCGAATCCCAGAGGTCGATGGTTTGTACGAATTCTGCTCCCGGCTCTCACCGACCACAGTGCTGACGTAAAATATCTTCGGTAGTAGGCAGATCATTGGTTAGAATCCCTTTGTCGTCAGACTAACAGTGAGAAGTTCTCATGATTCTCCTCTCCATGTAACGCAAATGTGGTCCCCCACAAAGGTTGGTTTGCCCCAATGCTTGATCCAGGATTTCTCTTGTCTTATTGACAGAAGTAAACTCAAATTTGGGTCGGCTGTTCAACTGCCATTATAAAATAAAAGAAAATTCTCATTAATGAAATTTTTTCACGCCCTAGTCAACTTTTTCCAATGCATATTATTGAATGCATATGAATGAACCTTTTAATCATCTATATTGGAAAAAGGACATAAACGGCATTTTATTTACATAAACTTTTTTTAAGTTTAAGTCCTAAGTATTATTAACAATGAGAAATTATGTATTATTAGCAAGGAAATATTAATCACGAAAGTAAGTCACCCTTCCGAAACGTCGAGAAGTGCGTCAGAGCACACACACGACTACCACAGGAATAAAACATACTTCTGTTGGTTGCATGGCTCATGCAACAACAAAAAAATAGCGTATGCTCAAAACACAAAAAAACTTTCACCTAACTAAACAGCATAATTGATTGAAAAAATACATCGGAAGTCACTGTTAAGAAGACAGCATATTTTATTATGTACCTATTAATAATGTCACAATGTTGCCATTCTTTATGTATTGCCGTAATTCATGTTTGAATTTAATTTATTCAATCTGTATTATCTTCGGTGAAGGTTGATTAAGGCTAAAACTGATGCTGTGTTTTAGTATTTCCAGAAACTTCAGCTTCATTACTCTTTCGTGTGCCAGTGGATATAATAACTCTCTTAGTTGTATTAAAACAAGAAATCTGAATTACAATTTACATCGAAATTTTTCAAACTCATATCGATTTTATTTTTTGTAATCGATATTCAATTGAAAATATTTTTTTTCTTTCAATGTTAGTTAACATACTTGGGAAGAAATATTTCCAGAGATCATCCCTCAGGAAAAAAAACATTTCTATTCGCCTCCTTAACGTGTCCAACTTTCGTTTAAAATAATGAAACTATTATATGAAGTTAAAAAAACAATGACTTCTTGTTTTTTACTTCTTGTTTATAAAATCCCGTTAAGCATAAACAAATCTATTATAATTTAAAATGTTTTCATATGTTTACAGGCAGATAAACCTGACGAGTGCAAATAATGATATATTGGAAAGAAAGTCTTGAAGTAGGGAAAAGAATATAGAAAGAAAGAAAAAACAAAAACAATGTAAAATAAAAAAATTGTTGCAATTTGTTTGAAATTTGTAAAACCACTTTTAAAAGTTTGGTTTGGAAATGTGGAGAAATAACGAAATAAATTATTTATTATTATTAGTTTATGGAACACTGGTGTAGTGTCTTCCTCTTTTAATTTTTTTTCCCCTTATGCTTGTTATTTCAATGCCATTTGAATGGAAATTATTCTTTATGGAAATGTAGAACTTTTTATATTCACCAATTTTTCATTAAATAAAGAGTTTCGAGGACTCTGTACGACATCATGGTAAAATAAACAATTTGTATTGGAGAACCTTATTTGAATATTTGACAGCATAACTTATTTTTTTTATTTTGAAACAAAAATTTAATGAGTTTATTGTTCTTCCCGTCTTGTTTTTGGTACACTTTTTTCCCAAAGGAAATAATTTACAGGTAGGCATTGAAATTAGTTTTAAAATTTAGGAAAGACTATTTGAATTAACGTTAAGTTGATGTCAATTCCATATTTTACTAAGTGGATTTGATCCATCATTCAAATGAGGCTTTCTTCTATCACATTGCATATGCAAAACGTTATAAAAAGGGAGATTGATTTTATTTTCTTCCATGTCTTCCTTTTATTGATTTTATTTTCCTCCATGTCTTTAAATTATTGCAGTATCCTATTCTGAAGAAAAAGTAGTTTATTAGCTTGTGAAAGGTATTTTACAAGTCTATAGGGAAGTAATTTAACAGAATTAGGTTTTTTTCAGTCTAAAACTGAAGTTCTGTCATCTTATTCTAATCTACAATGCGGTAAAAAAATACCAGATTCCCCTGAATAATATTGATTTAATGATTGGATCATCATGTTCAAGGACTAAATCTTAATAAGTCGAAGAAGTAGCTTCAAATATGCTAATTAATTGTTGCAGACGATATTTAGAGTTATGGAATCAGACCACAAAAACGTACTTTCTCTGAATAAACGTACATTCTCTTTCCACGGATTCGGATTTCTGACTCCCAAAATATAAGATGTAGTTGCAATCTGGGAAAAATGGTCCATAGTTTAGTAAGGAAAGTAATCTAAAGTTTGAACTCCTTAAAGTTAATTTTACTTTTTACGAATTACGCCATATCTCAAGAACTTTTGACGCAAATTGAAAATATTTTGCACGTAAATATTTAACCAAAGATAATTCCTTACAAAAAAATTTTATAATTACTTTTGTGAATTACTTTATTCAATAATAGTCGAAACATTTAGAACTGTAAGGTGTACAATTTTGTACATCATTTTAGAGAATGTAATTTTACGTGGCAAAATATACAAAATATGAGCGAAATCGAAGTTTCTGAGAAAACGAGTTACAAATGTACGATTTTTCCTCATGCTTCTTCTTCTTTCTATTTAGTTAAAAAATAAATAATAAAATGAAAGTCTTATAGTTAACATTTTTTTTCGCTTTATTATTTGACATTTACTCTTCCCATATGATTCCCATATGATACGTTTTACTTAAATTAAATAATTTGATTTTATATTTATTTCTTTATTCATTAAAACGTTTTAAACATTCTTGATTTTGTTACAAAACAAATACTATATAAGAGAAAAAGTTTTATTTCCTGCACATAGCTGCAAGTACATAGAAATCAAAAAATAAGTTAAAATATGATGAAAACATGGAAACACAAAGATTTTTGAAAAGAGAAGAAGAAAAATTACTGAAATATAATATTTATATATATACTGAAGATTAACAACAT